GGGGGGGGGGGGGGGTTCCCCCCCCCCGAAGGTGCCAGCTTCAGGACCTTTCTGTCCCGCCCCCCCCTGAAACAGCCGGTGATGCTGGGGAACAGCGTCCTGGGCAGAAGACCAGAATACCCCACACCCCACCTTGCAAGACTGTTGTGAAGTTCACAAAGAGAGAGAGAGAGAGAGCATCCTAGCCAAATTATGCATCATAATAGGGGGAAAGGAAACCCCCTTCTCCAAGGCAGAGCAAACCCTCCCTCCCCAGCTGCTAGACTGTGGGGGTGAGAGAGGGCAGCCAGCAATCAGGGTCCCAAGGCGAAGGCGAAGGATCCATGGCTTCTTCTCACCCTCAGGGGCTCCCTGGCCAGGGACCGGGGGGGGGCATCCTGCTTCCCGGCCCTTCTTCTCACCCAACGTTCCTCTCCACGACGGGGCCAAGCAGCGCAGGGCAGCGGTTTAGGATGTGGGGCTGGGATTTGGGAGATCCATGGTCTCGTCCTCTCTGGGCCATGACACCGACGAGGGGAAGCTCCGTCTTGCAGCCTGGTCTGCCTTGCAGGGTTGTGGGGAGGGGGAGGGGGAGGGAAGGAGCAGGAGAGCCCCCACGTGGCTGGGAAGGGGAAGATTGGGGCCACTGAGGCAGAAACCCCCCTAGATCGGAGGCACCACGGAGCCTTTGAGCTCCGCCTCCGGGTCTTCTTCCCAGCTGGCAGGTGGCAGACCCACTGGGCTCCTCGGACGGAAGGGGTCCTCAGAGGCCTTCCAGACGAACCCCCTTGGCTCCCTTGTGAAAAGGCCGCCGGTCCACGTGCAGCGGGGCCCGGCCCGGAGGAGATCGCTGAGGGTGGCAGCACAGTCGTGCCCACGGGCATCACAGGTGCCCAAGGCAGCCTGAGCCCACCTGGCAAGATCGGGCCTGTCTGGCTCACCTTTGACCTCTGCCACACAGGGGTGTCACCCCCCCAATGGCTGCCTGTAAGGGCTGGCTGGGGGCCGTCTGGCAAGAGCCATCGCCCACCCTTCCTGCGGTTCAGCAGCCGCCTCTGCCACCCTCCTTGGGGGGGGGGAAGTTCTCAGCGTCGCCAGATCCGCCCTCCCTGGCGGTGCCCATCCATTTGCTCCCACGCTTCCCTGGTTCGCTCCTGGGGCCGGAGCCCAAGTGGCTGCCCCCCCACCCCAAACAGCCCTGGGGCTCTCCACACACCCCTTCCTCGCACACCAGGGATGCCTTGATCCTTAACTGAGCCCCCCGAAAGTGCACCCCACATTCACCCAGGGAACCCCTTTGCCTTCCTCCCCACCCCCTACTGGGAGCCCCAGGTGACCTCTCACCCCAAAAGGCACCTCTTTGTGTCCCCCCCCTCGGTGCCCAGGGCTGGCTGGGTGCATCTCTTCCCCCCCATTAGCCAGGACTGCTTTGCCCTGCACAGCCATCCTGAGGGTAAATGGGGGGCAACTCCTGGGCTCCCCCCTTTCTAGCACAGGTAGGAAGGGGAAGATGGGGCCACAAGGGCCGCATCCAGAACGTACGTTTCTCTCCTCCCCCCCCGGGCCGTCCATCC